TTGTCTTGCTGAAACAAAACCCGACCTCGATTAATCAAAACAGGATATTACTTTAGTTTGTCGTACATGCAGTCAAAAAACTATAAAGGTGCTTCCTTCACTGAAAAGCGTTGAATCGTTGGTCGCGGAGGAAATGTACCATTGAACGGAATAAGCCATAGTCACACCGGAGCAGCATCAGGACTGAATGGTGGATGGAGAAGAATCTCAACACTGTCCATCTGTTTGAATTTCTTCTTAGTCAACCTGGCAGTCTGTGGCGTTGCATTGTCTTGTTGAAACAAAACCCGACCTCGATTAATCAAAACAGGATATTACTTTAGTTTGTCGTACATGCAGTCAAAAACTATAAAGGTGCTTCCTTCACTTCATGAAAAGCGTTGAATCGTTGGTCGCGGAGGAAATGTACCATTGAACGGAATAAGCCATAGTCACACCGGAGCAGCATCAGGACTGAATGGTGGATGGAGAAGAATCTCAACACTGTCCATCTGTTTGAATTTCTTCTTAGTCAACCTGGCAGTCTGTGGCCTTGCATTGTCTTGCTGAAACAAAACCCGACCTCGATTAATCAAAACAGGATATTACTTTAGTTTGTCGTACATGCAGTCAAAAAACTATAAAGGTGCTTCCTTCACTTCATGAAAAGCGTTGAATCGTTGGTCGCGGAGGAAATGTACCATTGAACGGAATAAGCCATAGTCACACCGGAGCAGCATCAGGACTGAATGGTGGATGGAGAAGAATCTCAACACTGTCCATCTGTTTGAATTTCTTCTTAGTCAACCTGGCAGTCTGTGGCGTTGCATTGTCTTGCTGAAACAAAACCCGACCTCGATTAATCAAAACAGGATATTACTTTAGTTTGTCGTACATGCAGTCAAAAACTATAAAGGTGCTTCCTTCACTTCATGAAAAGCGTTGAATCGTTGGTCGCGGAGGAAATGTACCATTGAACGGAATAAGCCATAGTCACACCGAGCAGCATCAGGACTGAATGGTGGATGGAGAAGAATCTCAACACTGTCCATCTGTTTGAATTTCTTCTTAGTCAACCTGGCAGTCTGTGGCGATTGTCTTGCTGAAACAAAACCCGACCTCGATTAATCAAACAGGATATTACTTTAGTTTGTCGTACATGCAGTCAAAAAACTATAAAGGTGCTTCCTTCCTTCATGAAAAGCGTTGAATCGTTGGTCGCGGAGAAAACCATTGAACGGAATAAGCCATGTCAATCGGACTGAATGGTGGATGGAGGAAAATGTCCATCTGTTTGAATTTCTTCATTGAACGGAATAATCAAAACAGGATATTACTTTTGATTGTCGTACAGTCAAAAAACCGGAAGCATAAAGTTCATTCATGAAAAGCGTTGAATCGTTGGTCGGGAGGAAATGTACCATTGAACGGAATAAGCCATAGTCACACCGGAGCAGCATCAGGACTGAATGGTGGATGGAGAAGAATCTCAACACTGTCCATCTGTTTGAATTTCTTCTTAGTCAACCTGGCAGTCTGTGGCCTGGATGGAAAATAAAACCCGAATCGATTAATCAAAACAGGATATTACTTTAGTTTGTCCATCTGAAAAGCGTTGAATCGTTGGTCGCGGAGGAAATGTACCATTGAACGGAATAAGCCATAGTCACCGGAGCAGCATCAGGACTGAATGGTGGATGGAGAAGAATCTCAACACTGTCCATCTGTTTGAATTTCTTCTTAGTCAACCTGGCAGTCTGTGGCCTTGCATTGTCTTGCTGAAACAAAAACCCGACCTCGATTAATCAAAACAGGATATTACTTTAGTTTGTCGTACATGCAGTCAAAAACTATAAAGGTGCTTCCTTCACTTCATGAAAAGTTTGAATCGTTGGTCGGAGGAAATGTACCATTGAACGGAATAAGCCATAGTCACACCGGAAATCAGGACTGAATGGTGGATGGAGAAGAATCTCAACACTGTCCATCTGTTTGAATTTCTTCTTAGTCAACCTGGCAGTCTGTGGCGTTGCATTGTCTTGTTGAAACAAAAACCCGACCTCGATTAATCAAAACAGGATATTAATTTTAGTTTGTCGTACATGCAGTCAAAAACTATAAAGGTGCTTCCTTCACTTCATGAAAAGCGTTGAATCGTTGGTCGCGGAGGAAATGTACCATTGAACGGAATAAGCCATAGTCACACCGGAGCAGCATCAGGACTGAATGGTGGATGGAGAAGAATCTCAACACTGTCCATCTGTTTGAATTTCTTCTTAGTCAACCTGGCAGTCTGTGGCCTTGCATTGTCTTTGTTGAAACAAACCCGACCTCGATTAATCAAAACAGGATATTACTTTTAGTTTGTCGTACATGCAGTCAAAAACTATAAAGGTGCTTCCTTCACTTCATGAAAAGCGTTGAATCGTTGGTCGCGGAGGAAATGTACCATTGAACGGAATAAGCCATAGTCACACCGGAGCAGCATCAGGACTGAATGGTGGATGGAGAAGAATCTCAACACTGTCCATCTGTTTGAATTTCTTCTTAGTCAACCTGGCAGTCTGTGGCCTTGCATTGTCTTGTTGAAACAAAACCCGACCTCGATTAATCAAAACAGGATATTACTTTAGTTTGTCGTACATGCAGTCAAAAAAACTATAAAGGTGCTATTCAAAAAAGGTCGTTGGTCGCGGAGGAAATGTACCATTGAACGGAATAAGCCATAGTCACACCGGAGCAGCATCAGGAAATGGTGGATGGAGAAGTTGTCCATCTGTTTGAATTTCTTCTTAGTTGGCAGTCTGTGGCGTTGCATTGTCTTGCTGAAACAAAACCCGACCTCGATTAATCAAAACAGGATATTACTTTGGTTTGTCGTACACAAAAACTATAAAGGTGCTTGAACGGGTCGCGGAAAATGTACCATTGAACGGAATAAGCCATAGTCACACCGGAGCAGCATCAGGACTGAATGGTGGATGGAGAAGAATCTCAACACTGTCCATCTGTTTGAATTTCTTCTTAGTCAACCTGGCAGTCTGTGGCGCCTTGTCTTGCTGAAACAAAACCCGACCTCGATTAAAAAACAGTACAAACAGGAATTACAAAACCCGACCTCCTTCATTAATCAAAAATCGTTGGATATTACTTTAGTCACACCGTTTGGATGGAGAAGAATCTCGTCCATCTGTTTGATGCAGTCAAAAAGTCTATAAAGGTGACCTCGATTAATCAAAACTATTACACTTTGTCATGAAAAGTGTTGAATCGTTGGTCGCGGAGGAAATGTACCATTGAACGGAATAAGCCATAGTCACACCGGAGCAGCATCAGGACTGAATGGTGGATGGAGAAGAATCTCAACACTGTCCATCTGTTTGAATTTCTTCTTAGTCAACCTGGCAGTCTGTGGCCTTGCATTGTCTTGCTGAAACAAAACCCGACCTCGATTAATCAAAGCAGGATATTACTGTCTTGGTGAAACAAACACACCGAGACCTCGATTAATCAAAACAGTTTGTAAAGAATTTCTTCTTAGATATTACCTTTTGTCTTGTTCGATTAATCAAAACAGGATATTACGTTTGTCGTACATGCAGTCAAAAAAATAAAGGTGCTATAAAAAGCGTTGAATCGTTGGTCGCGGAGAAATGTACCATTGAACGGAATAAGCCATAGTCACACCGGAGCAGCATCAGGACTGAATGGTGGATGGAAAAATCTCAACACTGTCCATCTGTTTGAATTTCTTCTTAGTCAACCTGGCAGTCTGTGGCGTTACATTGTCTTGCTGAAACAAAACCCGACCTTGAAATCAAAACAGGATTGGTCGCGGAAAAAATAAAGTACCACTTCATGAAAAGCGTTGAATAAAATGTACCATTGAACGGAATAAGCCACACCGGAGCAGCATCAGGACTGAATGGTGGATGGAGAAGAATCTCAACACTGTCCATCTGTTTGAATTTCTTCTTAGTCAACCTGGCAGTCTGTGGCCTTGCATTGTCTTGCTGAAACAAAACCCGACCTCGATTGACCAAAGCAGGATATTCCTTCTTTAGTTTGTCATAAACGCGGTCTAACTGATGGCATCTTAGCGTTGATCACGCGACGGTATGGAATAAAATCGAAATGCAGTACTGCTTGGAATTTCCACCAGAGATCGAAATTTCCTTCCTGAGTAAGTCAGGATTTTCTGGCCTACTTTGGTTCTGGAATCTCTCAGATCAGGAATTTTTCAAGTTTTTTTTTTTTGTTTTTTTTTTTTGTTTGTTTTTTGAAAATTATAGTGATAGATATGTGGTTCTACCAACCAATGTCCAGCATGGTATCAAATGAAATGCTATCGAGAATTAAAAGAAGTCTTGGAGAATTTAACACTCACAGGGCGTATCAAAAACAAAAGAAGTAGGGTGAAGTTATCATGAGTAAATGGACGGAGGGAAAAGTACTACAAAAACAAAAAATGGAAGTTGTAGAGAGATGTAATCGGGAAAGTCCTAAAATGGACAAAGCAAAAAGAGAGAAAAGAGAAGGCGAGAAGGGAGTTACATATTTGACAGCATTTTCAACCACAGTATTCATTTCACGTTATCACAGATATGTTGATTCTTTTTTAGTTCATCTTATAACCATTTGCAGGTTATTTAAAGCCAGAATTTTATATTTTTTTAGATTGTAGGAATTTAAAAAGAAAAAAATAATGGTTTAGTGACACAAGTTTTACTAATTAACCTGTAGCTGGGGGAAAGAGATAGATTCATACCTTACTCAAGTGTAGTTGCACGTAAGTGAATATAACCAACCCAACGGGAATTGGAGTTCGGCTGTCCGGTTAAAAGTTGTGAGTCATTATCCATTACACCACCCACACGTCCAAGCTTATAGCACCCGCTATTACCAAGTCTTAATTATTAGCCCATAGCTGGCAGGAGAGAAAAGATGGATTCACACCTTTAGCAAACTAAACGAGAATTGGAACGAGGCTCCGTGCCCTTATCCATTACAGCACACGCAAGCTTACAGCAACTGGTATTCCCAAGCGGTCACCCATTTAGGTACTGACATGGGTAGATGCTGCTTAACTTCTGTGATCGTACGAGAAACGGTGTTATAACTTGATATGGGCATAACCGATACCGACCGCGCATCCAAGCTCAAAGCACCTGGTATTCCCAAGCGGTTACCCATCTAGATTTTGACCTGGCTCGTTGTTGCTTAACTTCTGTGATCGTACGAGAACCAGTGTTTTAACGTGATGCCGCGTAAGCCACACATCCAACCTTACAGCCCCTGACATTCCTAAGCGGTCACCCAGGTACGACGTTGCTTAGCTTCGGTGATCGTATGAGAACGGGTATTTCAACGAGATATTTAGATAAAGCCAATCAAACATGGATAGCCAAAAGATAATAAAATCGAATAGTATCGAGGAATTGAGTGAATTGTAAGGTGAGATCTAGTTCTTCGGAATTGAGAAAATCTCTCTGAAAGTAAATGTTTGGCATTCTTTACTATTGACGAATACTTCCCAAGCTGTAACCCATGTAGGTACTGACCGATCTCGACGTTACTTAACTTCGGTGACCATAGAGAAAACGGCATTTCAAGGTAATCTGAACGCCAGTGGCCACATAGTTACAAAATAAGGCTCAAAATCTCTCTTATCATCTTATCGTTTATACGCAGCCCACAAAATCATGTTGTTCAGAAAACAATGTCCAATTTTAGAATCATCTTTATTTTCGAATTAATGTATTTGAAGAGTGTTTAAATCAATCAAAATAGGAACTCTGAACATCTTTATATTTCTGCTGTCGTGTTACATATCAGTTCAGACGTTTTCCGATTGAGGTTCTTCCAAAGTAGCAAGATATGACTCTTTTGGCTACCTCATTCTTCAAACATAAAAGAAATAACACTCGAAGTTATGATGTTTTTCCAATACTCCCGCTTATGAAAAGAAATACACAGTGCGTCAGTCCCTAAGGGACATGACTGACTGGTTAAGGTCGGTCAACTGATAAACAAATATATACTACTGAACGGGATACATACACTGGGCCCATCTTAATTCACCACAGCAAAACATAACATCTCTAATCAATTAAGATTAAAAGCCGTGCGAGCCACGCCTGGTATAGTATCAAAACATTATTATTATTATTATTACTGGCTTGTTAGGAATATGATGTCTGATTTTAGAATCAACATCTATTCTTGAACTAATGTATTTCAACAGCATTTTAATCACTCAAAATAATAACCCCGAATATCAAAACATCTCTGCCATCGAGTTATAAGGTTACAATAAAATCTGTGAATAAAGGATAAAGTCAATGAAGGACTACTGAATATTCACCATAATTTTCTGTTAATGCAATTTCGGATTTGGAAAGTTATTTTTTGGGTGGGGGGGTCGTCATGATCAAGCTACTGAGCCGTTCATTTATGATTTTCATAGAGGATCCATTTTTCATCACCATTCGACCAAGAAATCGATCATTCGAATTTCGACGATACAATATCGGAAACACTTAAAACATCGAACTATTTGATTTTCATTGAGTTCATGTGGAGCCCATTTGTCAAGGTTCTCCACGTTGCCAATTTTCTTGAAATTGTCCGATATCGTTGAAATATACCTGAAAAATACCCATTACCTGAGATATTTCTATAAACACTTTGACGTGGGTTTTGTTCGTGTTTTCACATGTTAATTGTCAAGTGAAGATAGACGTCCTCTGCCACCTTGATCTTTTAAATTCGTATCCTCGCTGCGGAACTTCAGAAACCGTCACTGTACAGTGCAATCATAAAGGAATTCCCCTATGCTTTGTTAATATTGGAAATCGTTTCAGAAGCATTATGACCAAACTTGAACCCATGCAAAAACAAGTAGACGCATCTCTTCTTTTTTAATGTTCAAGATCAGGGTTGTATAATGTCTTAAATTAACTTCTGAAAGAGAGTGATATCAAATTAACACAATTAAAAGGTTTATTCTAAAATCGGACTTTATTTTCCGAACAACCAAATGAGTTAAATTCTGAATGAGATTGATATAAAACTAACAAAGAGGGCACTTTAATCATTAGGAATGTATTTTTGTGTAATAATTATTTAACACAATTAGCAAGTTTATTCTAAAATCGGACATTATTTTCTGCTCATTTTTCCATGATCTATGCTACATATATCAGAGCTTATCTATTTGCTGTGTCCTCACGGGACGTATTTGATTATAACTCTCCACAATTTATTGTCCTCTTTAATAAATTTCTTCTTTTTTTTGTTTTTTGTTATCACTCCTAAACTTTGTACCGCCATCCAAGAAGGTTATGCGCTGTTTACTTCTGTCTCTCTTGCCTTCAATCTACCCTGTGAGTATCAAACTTTCTAAGCCCTCTTTCTTCATGAGATGATCTAGACATTTCAACTCTGTCTTCCTGATGTTAAGTATAAGTATTTCCAATTTCACTAAAACATTATCGTTGCTCACATATTCAGTCGGTGGCATTCTCACTATCCTTCTGCCCAACCATATTTTTGCTGCTTCAAGTTTCTTCTTCATCTGTGGGGAGAATGGACAGCATCCAAAGCCATATAGAAGGACTGATATTACACAGCAGTGAAGTATTCTTTTCTTAGTTTCTAACTAAATTTTCCTGTTCCTTCATAATTTGCTTAGCTTTTGGAATGCATCTTTCGCTATCCCAATGAGTCTTCGAATTTTAGTAATGCACTTTCTATCCTCTCTTTGATTTAATAAATGATTTGATTTGTTTGTTTAACGTCATATCAATTCTTTTTGGTTCCTTTAATGCCGAAATTTAATTTTCTTGAGATATTTAAAGTAATAAAAATATGATATATGTCATTCTGCCTTCACAATTGAATACATGGTCGATGATACTCAGGTTTTATGGTTATTTGTTTGGTTGATTCTGTTTAGCTGCATATCAACTTGTAGGGGTAATTTGATGCCGAAATCGAAATATTTTGAGCAAAATCTTATGGCTTCAACGAGATATTTTTAATTTTTTTTAATTGTATGCCTTGAACTACAGGTAAAATGTATTATTGGTCGTTTTGTTTTAAAACTGTTTTGTTAGTAATTTTACTATAAATAGTTGTTTTTTATATAAAAATGTATTGCCGTTAATTTTACTATAAAAAAGTATTTTTATATTTTCATAGTACTTTGGTATTATTTGGTGGTTCACTATTTACCCATAGCTGGGACTGTAACACTTGCTAGCACCCCAGGTAAGGTGAACCTGGGAAGAACAGCAATTAAAAGGTGGTTCCAGGCTCCTCAAAAGCTCCAATCTCCCGACCAATGGCCTTGTTACCGGATGTAGGTTATCGTCATACCCAGGTCTGCCGCGCTCTTTTAAAACAGTTTTCAGATATTTAAGTTGTACTTGTTTGATTTTGGAATCTTCAATCTGTAATTGGTATACGGTACCCAATAGAGCAAACGGCATAAAATTGTTCTATCCTTGATATTCTCAACATTCGTCGATGGTACCATATCTTGGTAGCTTTATATTTGTGACGAGAATGTTCAACGTTGAGCGCTATAGTAAATACTACACGGCCATTCAGTACTGTGTCATCAGGAGGAAAGGTATAAATCCATTACTTCTGCACACCCCAGGTATGGGTTGAACAACAGGAAAAAAAATCTGGGTTTTATATCCTTAGTTGGCAACAGGCCTACCACAGAAAGAAACGACAGTTTACGGCGAGAATTCACTGCCTAGTCAGTCATGAATCAAAAGGGACACGATCGCCCAATCGTGTATCATTTATGACACTGAAAAGAGACAGTGCGTGTGTAAATATCAAGAGTGTGGAAATTGATGACAACATCGATTGGCGACAATCTGTTTCGTACATGTCCTTCTGTTCATATATATATATATATATATATATATATATATATATATATATATATATATGCATGTTTCGTTAAAAACGATAGACAAGGTACTACGGTTGAGCTTTTTATTTAATTTTTCTTGTGTTCAAACAAGAGCTTTCATTTCTGGACAAAGGGTGTGTAAAAACTGTCCAAATGTTTTATATTTGCGAGCGCTTTCGGCTATACCTTTAGCCATTATCAAGGATGAATTTGATTTTCAGCATAATTGAGTGTATGCATTATGTGTATGTCTTAGTGTGTGGTAGGGATGTTTTTAATTTCCGAATACGGTTAGCACATTGTGGCTTTGTTCATAGTTAATATTGTTAAGAGTTGGCCTTTTCTTTTTTATTATTAAAACTTCCATTATTTTTAGTCCTTTTTTATAGGTGGATGCAGTTAATATATTTGTTTTTTTCTACTAGTATATATATATATATATATATATATATATATATATATATATATATATATATATATATATATATAAAAAAAGGCTTAAACACTAATATTCCATTGTCATAATTTATTCCATTGGAATCGTAAATACGATCCAAATCATCAGACCTACAAATTCAAAATGAAAAAGAAAAAAAACAACTCCGAAATCAAAACAGAATTTAGAGAAAGTGTAAGTATGAGGAGGAGGGAGATGAAACCTTAACAGAGAGAATTTTAGGAGATGTGGGGGGGGGTTAAAAATAGGAGAGAAAGAAAGTCGACGGATGTCTAATGCATAAAGATACATTTCGTGGTGACATATACACACCATAGACAATTAGAAGTTAGGATAGGAGGTGGGAAAAAAAAAGAAAGAGAAGAGGTGGGTGAGAGAGATGGGACGAAGTTTACTTAAAGGGCCGCTTTGTAATTGAGAAAATTTGACAAATTAATATCGACTACAGGTTAGAAATCAAATATAAATATATGAAGATGAATATAACGATTGTCTAATTTAGCAAGGACCAAATATTTCTATGTTCAAAAACACATACTAATACACACAAAAACATATACAAGTAGGTACATACACTTAGGCATGTACTCACATATATATATGTATGTATGTATGTATATCCTGGTATGATGAAAATGGATAGAATGCAATTCCAACGTCCGTGACATTTAATTTTAAAAGAGGGCCCAATACAGAGTAGAACAAAATATTATTTATTTCTGGATATTAAATAAAAAATTATGT